TTAAAAGTAGGCAGAATTAGCTATCAGTAGTTCCTGTTCGCAGTTTACCCAGAAATATACAGACAACTATCACTGGATAACTTCGATACTGAAGAAAACTTTAAGACAAGAGGATCCTGAGGCAAGTTCTGCAGTCTTTTGGATTTATGGTTGTTTATTTGAGATAATGATATCCTTGGGAAGTGCACGCCACACAGAATCTAAAACTATGTGTATCATTTGTGTGTGTGACTGAGTTATGACTCCGACGAGGAATATGAATGTCGATGCTCATTTCTGCAATTGGGCCGAATTATAATAAATAAAGGTTTTTCAGAGTACAATATGGGATTTCTGCTGCTCTCACATGAAAAACATTAACAAAAGACGTAGTTTGATGACTTTGTCCAGGAAGTTTTTACCAGGAGCCAAATTATCCGCAGAGGTCTGCTCCTCTCCAAAACAAACAGATCCGGTGATTAAAAACCAGTAGAAACACAATAAAGTAGTTTCACATTATTTCAAATTAGTGTTTTTCAGATGTTTGGCAGACAAAAGATGTTCCAGAGGGGCTGCGAGCCGAGCTGCTGCTAACGTTAGCTCAGCTCGTTTCTCTGATAACTTAAGATCCAGATGTCCGATGACTAAAATCCTTCATCCAGTTAAAATATAGAGTTAAAAACAACCAAGATCTAAAAAAGTGTATCGTATAAATGAGGCTTGAAACTGGATAAAAACTGCCTGACAACCATGTGCAAAAGAGATATTGACAGGACATAAAAATGACAGATTTCATCTTTGGAAACATTTGGGATAATATAAGTACACACCTCAACAAAATATATAGTGTAAGACATTTTAATGCCGGAAATGTTACATATTATATCTCAGTGGTTGTGTTAGGGCTTTAGTTTCATTCACAAGGCTTCAGATTTGTGTTACTAACTTTCTCCATGTTTTATTCTCATTGTTTGATGAATAAAAATGTGTTTTTAGACAGAGGCTGTAACCAGACACAGCAGAGAGGGAGCTCGCCTTTTACTAAGTAACAACAAAGTGATGCTCGGTAAAAGGTCACTGCAGCCCGGCTGCTGCTCCCTGCGGGTCGAGCCTGCGTGCTCACGATAAGGGGACGTCTGGACTCATCTGTCACATGCAGATGGCGGCGAGGTGACTGTCAAAAGACCTCGGTGACCTTTTTTCCACAGGTACGTGTCATCGCTTTGAGTAGCACTCGTCCCATCAGTGGCTCCTCTCAGCCGCTGCCAGATGCACACTGCTCATTTATTTCCCATCTCTGCCCTCTGTTTACCCAGCAGGCTGTTGCTCCGCGGCCGCCCGGCGCTGCTGTAATTGCTGGTGGGTAAATATTTACAGCGCCCAATGAGGTTGGCGCTTGCATGGTCGACGTTGGCAGCCCTTTTTCAGAGAGCGATGACATCATGAAGAGCCGGGGCGACTTGAGCAAACATTTGTTCCCACTCAGGTGATAGGCTCACAAGATTCCTTCATGGAGGAGGCAGAGCGACTAAAGAGGGATCAGGTTTAAACTAGTGCCCCGAAGAGCCAAATAGATGCCTTGTTAACGCTCCTAAGCGTTTTGGCGAGTGACTCATGGCTCCTTCAGCAATGCTGTGTTTACTTAGCATCCTGGCAGGCTCAGGTTTTGGCAGGTATGACTTTTCAGCTTACTTCTGAGTCATTTGAGAGGTGTCGTCATAACGTCAACAACTACCTCATCAGCTTGTTATACGCTCTCTTAGATTTATGTTCTGATGAGCTGTTGCTGCAGAGCTCAACGGTAATAAGGAATTATTGTTTAGCAACTCTCTGCAGAATCTGATTGTGATGATATGAGCCTATTTCAGGCCTCCCCAGACTCTCTCAGGGATTTTTTCTTGACAATACAGGACAGCACTTGCTTGGTTTCAGGCCGATTGACTACATCAATGTGGCCACAGCACATCAGTAACAGTTCAAATCAAGTAGAATTTATTTCATTTTAATAAAAATTCATCTTCTAGTAATGTATTTATGAACCACAGCAACAAGAAATTGGATCAATATTAGGCTGTATGCATGTAGATATGAGAAT